GTATTTGATCTACAGGTGAATGATGGAATAGTGTAGTTTACTTCTGTTCGTCAATTCGGTCTCACTGTATTTCAGTGGGCGGCTTTTAAAAATTAAAACTGCAAGCTAATACACACAAATAACGTAACACTGTGTCATATTTACTTACCGTAGGGCAGTTGCGCTATATCCTAGGGGGGGGGCATAATTATTAATCAATAGGCATTATAGGCCAGAGGAAATTTTGCGCCCCTTCACACCTGCGCTGGGGGGCTACTGCCCCCTCTTGCTACGCCACCGCACAACATAGTGCCTCACTGAATTCTATTCCACAAATGGTATTTTTTTAGCAAACTCAAGGACAACAAAAAGCGCGGATAAAGAACTGAGGAATCACAGAACATTATCATAAACACCGTGACAAAATACCTGGTACTTCCCAATGGAAATCTAATATTATGTTTTCTATGTGGATGAGAATAACAGGAAGCCATTAGATAAACCTAACTCGTGTGAAAGATATGTGAATTAGACAGGAAATGTGAGCTTTTCCGCTTATAAATCATAACATTCTTTAAGCTACATTGATATTTTACTCACAAAAGAAATATATTTTACTTGATTATTTTTGCGGTATGTATGAATATTAAATGTGGCGTTCGAAGCAATAGCAAAGAAGGCTGCATACAACGTTGTACTAAACATAATACAGTGCAGGGTATTTACTTCATCATTCAACACTGAATAAAGATTTATCATTATGTAAAAAATATATATACACACATGAAAGAAGGGCGAATGAATATGTTTTGATAAGAAACAACAACAAAAATAGTGCTATTTCCATCGGGGAAAATCTTGTATTTGTGACGTACCATGTCGTTACCTAACATGTCACTGATATTTCCGTAATATTTTATATAAATAGTCAAACTTGAGGAGTAAAGATATATAACTTGTCAAGAAGATTTTAAAGAATATCCAAGATAAAAAATATAAGATCACGTACAAGACTTTTTACACAGATCACGGTCTTCACACAAGTCAAAACTGACTTTCCGAAAATGAGAACAGTTAGTTTTTCTTTGTGGATCATCGTTGTTTTTATTTCAACATTTGCACAAGATGATGACCTGATTGCAAACGTATCCCTGTCGAAACGTGTGCCTATTCGGCCGAGTAAGTCATAAATATAATAATGCGATATAAACTTAGATTACTGAAATTCTCTACATGAATTATTTGCCTTTTTTAAAATCTCTAACAAGTGTCTTGGAAATTTTTTCCTGAAAAATTTAATTATCTTTCTTTCCAGTTTACTATTATTATTGTGATGACTGTTTCTTGGAACGAACCCGAGAAGGAAGGGCGATTCGTCGTGTAAGTTTTCCTTTAAATATGTTGAATATAGTGTTCATTAAATATTCTGATTCCCAATTTCAGATTTCTTGAATGCAGTGTTTTATGGTCCATCAAAGTTAAAAGAAAATTACTAGAGTAAAAATAACAAGCATCATACGAATTTTGGTCTTCATAGCACGTTTTGTTACGGTATTGCCAACGTTCAACACATTTTTATACAGCATTTTTCAATTTATAATAAAATTATAATGAAAAAAAAATCACTAAAAAATTAGCTATAGGATTTGGCCAAGTGTTTAAGTAACTTTTGTTTCCTCATTGCTAGTGCTGGTGTTCATTTCTGAGGTCTTATCAACGCTATATGTATGTAAGTAGCGTTTTTCTCTATTGATTGTTGCTGAAGTAAATATAAATTGTTTTGTTCAAGTTATACTTTTGATACTATTTACAACACACCTGATTTTAGTAATTGCATCAGATAGAGAGATAAATTTTCCATACAATGACAATATTCAACTTCGATCAGTTACATAGAAAATTTAGTTCCATTTAGCCAAAATAATTATCATGCTTAAAGTAAAGTCAGGGAGGAGATTCATTGATATTTACAATTTTAAAAAAGTATTTGTTAGATCGCGTAAGGCAAATGTCAGTTTATTTACTTACTTATCAATCACCAAGATATACATAATTGTCATAATTATAGCCAACAAGTGGAAAACTTAACGCATAAGAGCCAAGTAACTGCGTAACCTGGGCATTGTTTTGCCAAAACTTACGCAGGCTATATACATATATATACAGGTGGTTCCATTGGCCGTTGCCTTTATTTAGAACAAATGCAAAGAAATTGTAATATTTAGTTATAAACCTTCATCTCTAGAGTTTCTAGACGCAGTTTTATGAACATAATATAATTTCCAAATATTTAATGTCATCCATCTCCATACTGTTAACAACGTTTAACACACTTCACTTAGCACTGGTTATTAAGAGTTGAAATTAAAGAATTGAATATAATTACTTACAGAGCTCGAGAGAAACGAGAAAATATCAATACTTATCCATCCTTTGTCAGGTAAGTAACTACTATTTGTCTGCTTGTTTTTAAGATTTCCCGATAATGAATGTTTATCGCTCTGTATGGTTACAGATAACACAGGCCTGCGAATTTAAACTTCATAAAAGTTGTTTTGGTTTTAATAACGGATTTTACATAATTCAGCTACGCAGGTTTAAAAAATAATATTCACCTTTTTTCTATCAAGTAAAGATTTTTTACAAATCAGGAAGATAAACAACACTTATTTGGATCAAATTATTATTTCGTTTACCACAATGAACATTTTTATTATTATATTTGTTAACAAAAATACAAACAAACTGAAGAAAAGGGAAGAACATTGATGTCAAACGAATATGCATCCTCATTTTTTTTTTGTGTGAAATCTACGTCTTTTAGTCTCAAAACTACGTGTTGTGGTATTTATTTTATGTATTGCGTTATGACGTTTTGTGAAAGTCTGTACGTGATGGAGAAAAATGGATATCATTTTCGGATTCAGCGTACAGAAATTACTGTAGAACATGTAAAAATTTCAAAACAATAAAACCATAGCAGCCTGTGTAATCGATTCAGTAACAAACGCAAAAACTAACTTAAAAGTTTAGAATGTCCATTTTGTACAAAAATAACGCATTTGTGAGAAGGAGTTAATACAATTTATGTCACTACTGTAAATGAATTTCTAACAATTTCAAAATTAGGGACGGTTAGCCTTCGAGTAACTTTGCGCGTAATGCAACAAAACAAACAAATCGTGTCAGTAAGATAGATATTTGGATTAAATTAATCTCACACTTGTATTTCTTAGACCTAATGCCAATTAAGCCACAAAAAACCTCGAACCATAAGCTAAATTTTAAGTAAAATCTAAAGTACCAGATTTTTCTAGTATCGATATTATCACAATATGTTAAGTTCGTAATTTCCAAAACTTGTGCTTTTAAATAAATTTTCAAGTTCATTCTCCGTACTGTAAAAAAGTACTTCTGAGAAAACCTTGAAGCAAAATTTAGTGAAGGTAGATGTATCACAAAAAAAGTACAGTAGAATTTGACTGAAAGTTATATATAGTTTAATATTGTTAATGCTCCTCATGCCTTGATTCTTTTCGTGAATTCATGCAGTTAGGACCATGGTAAAAAAAAATTCGTAACTTACATTCTTTAAGACTGTTCCTGCCATAATTCTTGTGGGGGACCATGTTTTGAGCACTATTGATCAGACGATGGTAAGAACAATAGTTCTTGTGGAGGGCAATGATAAGAACAATCCACGATTGATATTTTTAAGAACAACTCCAGCCTTGGTTTAGCAGTGGACCATGTTTTGAACTCTACAGAGATTAACTACATTATAACAAAAATAATGTTGGAGCCTCATCGCATCCTTACAGTTCAGGTCACCACATTCAATCATGCTCTATCTCATAGATGTGCATCTTGAAAATAGCCCTGCAGCACATTTTGTATTGCAAAAGGCTTCACTGTAAAGTTGTCATGTCTAAAAGACCCCCCCTCCCTACCAACTTACTTTCCATTAGCCTAGGGTGACAATATTTCCAAGCCGAAAAACTAGGACAATCCAGCCCTTGCCCCCAATTTCAAAATAGTTAATAAATATCTGAAATAATTTGATTTTACTATAAATTTACTGAACTGTTCCACAATATTTGCAAATATATTAACATTAGCATTGTTCTTCAAATAATTTCAACTACCTTTTTTGGTGATAAACACAAAACAAATGAGCAAAAATAGTCAACTAATACATCCAAGAAATCTTTACCAATTTATCTTAGAATAGGCTACTTCACAGCTGGATTTATTTAAGACTACAGAATATTATCAAACATACTCATTTTTAGGTTTTAGCATTACTTTGAAGCATTTTAAGACATACTTCTGTGAAGAATGAATGGAACATAGAAGTTCTGATTTTCATTAAATATTCATAACATTTAGTACATAACTGTGTAAAGTACGTTTTGACAATGAACACTGCTTTAACTATCTCCAATTCATACCTGCACAGACCTGGGTTTCCCACCACATACACACACATAACTTTTGGGAGAATTTGTTGGCAGGAGAGCATGTGCTACAACAATGAGCAAGTCAAGCAGACCTATTACAGTTGTGATTTGATGTAACTGACAGTTTGATGTCTTTATCATAAAACCAGGACGTTTTGTGTATCCCAAGAACTTTTCTCAGGACACTGGGACAAACTACCAAAAAATGGGCCTGTCTTGGCAAAACCAGGGCATATGATCACCTTACATCAGCCATCCAGTCTACAGAAAACACTTTCCCACTGCCTGTTTCAACAGTTTGATTTCACAGAAATCCATAGGTGCTCCAACTAGCAACTTACCTGCCATGTTTTGATATTGAATAGCATGAATACTTATTTTATTCTATAGCAGCTTGAGGTATGTGACAGTTGAACAGATACATCGAGGAAGCAGCTTGTGTACATGTGACTTCTGTCACCTTTCCATATGGAGATCCTTCTTTATTATGTTGCATACTGTTGCCATGGGGGCACGTGAATTGCTTTTGCCACTACCTTTATGTTTTTGGATTCTCACTTGTTACAAGATGAAGCACTTTGCTTACCAAGACTGGGCATGACTTGTTGCAGGTCTTTTTCTGGATGCTCATGGGCTACAGTTGATTCATATTCCTTTGTTTTAATGCTATTTAGCACAAAGGGATACCCTCATCTCAGGAATTCTGAATATTTATGATCAGAGTGTAGCAATACTTTGTATCAGAAAAGGCTGTTACATTAGCAATCAATTTTCAGCGGCATCATACTACCGAAGAAATGCAAAAACAATGTACTAATGTAATTCTGATACATTATTTTCCATTTTGACTTTATATCACCTGTGGTTTTCACACAAGTTGTTGAATTGCATATTGAAAATCACTTTAATATATTCAACCCACTGTACAGATAAGACCAAGATAGGAACAATTCATTACTGATATTCTTAAGGATTGCTCTTGCTTTGGGTCTTATTGTGGACCATGTCTAGAACTCTCCTAAAGTGGGAACTAATTATGATAGTTTTTCATTTTTTTTTTTATAATGAAGCCATCTAGAAGTAAAATAAATCATGGAAGACAATAGATAGAAAGTTTGTCATAACAGTCTAATTTCTGGTTTAATGTGTCACAAAAAGTAGTGTTTGATATTTATTTCACAGTGTATCAGAAATGCAATAAGAAGATATGCTCCTGGAGTGGTCTTATCCTCTGGCATGGCAAACTTAACCAATCCTGGCAGAGCTCAACAGTGACAGGACTACAGTTACACTGGCACTATATAACAGACACACTTTCCTCTATTCATTAAAGGTTTTACTGTTTTCTTATTTTCCAATGGATCCACTAATGTATAACCAGTTCTAGCTATCAAGAAATATATGTAATAAAGCAAACCTTTTGCATTTATTTGGATTATGTCTATAGATATATTTATACCTGCACCACACAAATCTTCCAAAGTAAATAAATATCACACTCAACATGCTAGTTCTTTAGAGAATATATTTCTGTTACTTTTGAGGCAAAATCTAAACACAATTTTATTGGCATCAAAACTTATTTTCCATATAAAGCAATTTCTTATATATTCTGTTTTCCCAGCTACTCTTTAGGCAAGGAATATTTACTGTAGTACTCAAGAAACATGCCCACAAAGTTTTTATCATTAATTACTGAAATGAAGTCGACATCTTTTAGAGTTACAAGGTGCAACAAAATAGATATCAATTTTTATCATAGTTGTTCTGTAAATGCTATCTATAACTTTAATGATAATGAAAAGAGACTTTAAAGAAAGGGAGGAAAGTAATGAATTTGGTTTGAGATACATTAAATAGAGCCTATACATTCCATCTAACCCTACAGTGAAAATATTATACTCCAATAACATAGCAGTTTATATATTCTGCAGGTAATCCATTTTTTGTGTAATATCTTTTAATTTTTGGGTGATCCATTTAACTTTTATCTATGTATCCTAAACGTAATCCCCATTCTTGATAAGCTGTAGTTACAAGCATGAAATAAGCTATAATAAAATGTTTAATTGTGTTTTCAATAGCACTTGTTGCTAAGTAGATCAATGAATCCGATAGTAGTGTTCTGACAGTAGCAGTAGCCATCAGTAAATCTTTTTTTGTATTTATGATTTTATTTATCAAACTATATTTTCCATAATTTCCCCAAACTCTCATCAGAACTAATTCAAAAAGCAGTCTGATGTTAAGTACTTTCTTTCTTCTGACCAAATTTTAATTGTGAAAAGCTACCCTAGCAACTGCTTTATACAATAATTATACTGAACATACATAATATATTTTCAGTTTATATGCACAGATACACAATGATTATAATAAACATCACAAATATAGCTGGTCAGTACTGCCAGGAAGTTACAGATTTAAAGAACTTCCTATACGCCACAACAGTCAGTGTATAAATATGAGAATACTGATTTTTTTTTATCCTATGTGTTTTTTTATTTTCATCTACTATGAGAGTGCTAGCAAGTGATTGAAGGAACAACAAATAGTTGCTCTTCAAGTTCAGTTCAGTCTGTTTTTATACAAGCAATCATAATGAAATAATCACGTGGATTTTCCAGAACATCCAAGAATTTTGACTGATACTCTTTTTTGTTGTAAAATTTTTCTTTTATTGTAATTTTCCCTCATAATATTTTGCTCCGAGTAAAAATACTACTTGAAAAACTAACCAATACATACACAGATTAAATCAACTACAATAAACAATCTACCCTAAACTGCTTTCTATTGAGAGGTAACTGTTGTCTCCCAGTCACAGGAACAATTAAATTTTAGTTTGGATTCTAGCTTACTTCCGAAGTTCTCAAGCTTTAAATAAATTCCATTAAATAAATTGTCACATGACTTACCATAACAAATTTCAATAAAAACTGCTTCTGAACCACTTAATAATAAGTTATTAATGTTTGAAAGAATCCAGAAAGCCAACTATTATTTTTCACATATTCTAACTTATTACCCAAAGATAGTTATGTAATGACCATTAATAATAATTTACATGTAGAGAAATAGTAATCTCTTATATCATAATTTCACATTACAAAAATATTTTAAGTTGGGCTTGAGTTTTTATTAGTATGATTTATGAAACTAGGTAATGTAAATTTACCAATAATTATTTAACATACATTGTATTTCCCTTTCTTCTTGAAGACACATGTTACAAAATGAAAATCACCTTCACCAAATATTAACATCAATGTAAAAAACATTTACCCTATATTAACCTCAATTGAAATTATTGAAGTTTTACCTTTCCCTTGAATTAAATAAAAATTTAATAAGAGGATACTATTTAGAACTATTATGTTTAATACTCAAGTCTCTCAACACTAAGAGTCTGATAATGGTATACAAATGTGCTTACAATCAGTAGTTCTTCACAAAATACACCTGCCGTAAGTTATTATTGTTATAAATATCTTTTGATACAAAAAATGCTATTAAAATATAACATTCATTTAACCTCTGTAAAAAAGAATAAAGTTGGCTAATCCTGATCTAGCAGGAACTAATAAGGTTTTGATAGATGTCAGTAGTTTTCCTACTTTTATTACTATTTCATAAATCCACATCTTTTCTCTATTATCCTTGTCCTAAGCAAAATCTTAGTTTAAACGATCACTATCTTGCTAACTCGAAAAAAGCATTTTTAACATTACATTTATATAACTACTCCCAATCTACTAAGTCTGCAAATAGATTTTTTTTTTTCTCTGGTGGTTTCTTCCCTATTTACAATGACTTGAATCAGGATGTTGAACTTGGAAAGATTAAACATTATGTAAAGGTTAAGCTGTTTTTCTAAAATATCTAATGCTTATGGTCCATGACTTTGTTGGTTACATGGTCCTTAATAACATAAAAGTCATAAAAAATATAAACAAAAACCCTATTAACATTTCAATTAATTACTCTTAAATTATTGCTAGTGTCCCCCATGTAGTTTATATCAAAAGTGAACAGTTTAGGCCAGTTCTTTACAGTGTTATAGCAGGTAAAACAAAATTATTTGATATTATGTAAAATATGGCACCGATCAGTAGTGAATAGTAGAAAAATAGTTTGTTAACTTGTATGTTAACATAATATAATACACCATACTGGCATTACATTTTATAAATGTTATATACACCTTCTTGCTGACACTTATTACTATATAGTATTTTAGGAAATGTTGTGTGTTAAAAAAAAAAGAATTAGCATCATGATCTTTAGATACCCACTTAATATCAGAAAATGCTACTTCAAATCTTCACAGTCTTGTCATTTGAGATATTCTACAATCTATACTTGAATTAATAAAGCATCTAAAATGGCAAGTTGACCTAGATCATCACATTAAAACTGACAAATGTTTTCACACATTATCAAACTTTATTTATGAAAACAAAGGAAAAGATTATTTGCACCAACACATAAAAATAATTATTAGTAACATTTTGGAAACTTGGAAATCATTTTTTTCTTTCTAAAATGGAACATACTTTAAGTTATATGAGATACTAGTTGATGAGATTTATACAAGCTATCTATTAAGCTAAATGTCATTACAATTAAATCACATTCAATTGTAGAAACTGATTTTACAAAGTTAAAGCATGACTACATAAATAATATGGATATTCACCATATTATTTGTATTCACATACAACTGTAGAAACTTTACAATTCATGATTAAATAACTTATATGGATATTCACTATATTAATTTTTTTTTACTTTGATCTTTTAGTCCTCTTGTTTGGCAGCTGAATGATCATTATGAGTCTTAACCCTTTCTGGACTAGACAGGCATCACTGATATACCTTGACGTTTTCACTTCTCACATTAATAATACTTTTAACTAAATAGCAGAAAATGTAGTACAAACTTAAACAGTATGTAGTGGTGACTTAAATTCATATAATTTTATTTATTTTTTATATTATTCTTTCAGTTGTAAAACTTCCAAAATTTTGTTGTGAAACTTTTTGAAAACAAAAACAAACACATTAAAATTACTTCAATTAGTTCCATTTTATATATCTGGTTAATTTCAATTTGAGTGATGATAATTAACACATTTCTTTGATACTTTATTTTACTGATTGCTTTGTTTTAGCACAAAACCACACAATATGTGATCTGTCTATCAAACTTGTGAAATCAAATCTTGGATTTTAATGCTTAAGCTTAAATCTGTAAACTTACTGCTGACCCATCGAGGGACTTACTGATTGCAGTAATCAGACACCTTATGGGTATAATCATAAAAAAAAGCAAAATTGTCAGAGATTTATCAGCAGTCTAACACCTGACCTTTCAAAATAGTATCAATATTATCTTTGTCAGGATAGGTATCATGATTTTAGCAAACAGTATTCTTGGTCAAGATTAATTTATATAAAATAAATATAATTCCTTTTCAATAAATAATAAGTTCTTTTATATTTGTTGTTTGAATACAGTAAACTTAATACTCTTTAATAAATAAGGATTTGAATCATTAGAATAACTTGTCTTTGTCTTTTGCACTCACTAAATGAAAGTATACCTCACATTTTGTCATGGAAGAACATTTATATAGCTTTCACAAACATATTAATAATAAAAAAGCATTTTCAGGGTTAAAAAGAATGTCTAAAGAAATTATAAGTACAATTTCCAGATTTGTAATTGTTCTCAATTCTTCTAGTAAAAGACAAGTAAAATGCGAACACAATGAGAATATGGCCAGAAGAGCTACAATGTAATTGAATTCAAGCATGGTCACAGGATGGACAGTGCAAATTTTCCACACAAAAAAGTATACCCAGTCAAGCATCACTTGCCACAGAGGAGGTTCCACAATACATTATCAAAATAGCCACTGTAAATAAAGAATTATGAAAACATAGTACTCTTAAGTCATAATGACACTGCAGTGTGTAAGATGGTGACAGGAGGTAAACGAAAACCCACTGAGCAACAAAGGGACACATGATGTAAGTAATGTGAAACAAATGCATGAGGTGTGGTACACATGCCTACCCTGATGATGACCTTCCAAAGAAGACAGAAATTGGCAACCAGGGACATGGTGAGGTGACTGATTTGATAAGAAGATACCGTAAAAAGGCTACACACCTCAGGCAAAAGGGAAGAATACACCAGCTTAATTAACTGGCATATCTAATCTGTGAGGGTAATGGAAGAGAAGTTCCAGGACATGAAAGGATTCCATGGAATAAACAAATGGTTACAGGAACCATGGAAAGAAGCAGTGCGAGTAAGATACCATCGGAAGACTTAGACTGGACAGGATCAGAATGGACATAAATGCTCAGGGCTCACAGTGTTCCTATAATTTTTTAATATTCCTATATTTAGACAAATCTTCCTATATTTCCTATATTTTTCCAGAAATGAACAAAATTTCTGTGTCTGCTGTTCTTTTGTTAATTGTAGGTTTTCCATAATCAGTATTTCCCATGTTGCCATCTGTCTTGAGATGATCATAGCTAATTGTTCACACCTACTGGAATGAATTTTCAAAAGTACACATTAGATGAGTAGTTGATTTCTTGTTCAAAAGACAGTCGATGGGTGCTGAAAGTTGTGCAGTCTGATTTTAGCTATGCTTCATGTGATGTTGTAGACACCTTCAAGGACATGTTTGAAAGTCCTATCATAAATGATATGACTCTGGCTGGTAGGAAGGTGTCTTATATTGTGTCAGATGGACTTGGCCCTCATTTCTGAACTTATCGATGATGTGAAACAGAATTTACTATTACTTTTGATGAAACTCCAAATGCACAGATAAAAAATCAACTGGATATTCACATAGGGTACCTCAAAAGCTTAATGTTAGGACATGCATATGCAGAAACTATCTCAAAATCAATAACATCAACTTTGGAAGATGCCAGTCTACCACTTGAAAAATGTGTTGCAATATCTAGTGATGGTCCCAATGTAACCAAAGCAGTTTGGAGAACTATCAATGAAAAACTCGTATGAGCAAGCAGACCAGATCTTGTAGACATTGGCACTTGCAACTTACTTGTGATTCACAACAGCTTTGGAAAGGGGACTGAAGTGTATGGAAGTGATGTTGAGGATTTGGCTATTGATATATTCCATTGGTTCAAGTCTGGGGCCAGAAGAGAAAGTTACAAAGTCATCCAAGAATGTCTTGACCTCCAAGAGCATGCATTTCTTCGGCATGTTGAGTGCTGATGGCTAAGCCTACTACCAGTAGTTGAAAGACTGATTAAACAATTTTCAGGACTCTGCAGATATTTTCTGGAACTGTCAAAGGAGGACCGCAAGGTTGAGACAAGTTCCAGGTACATTGGTAACCGAAAGAAACTTCAAGCAAAAGACATTCTCATTAAGATGTGCTTCCTTCAGTCTGTTGACTTTTGTTTCAAGGCTTTCTGAAGTTCTTTCAAACAGAGGGACCCCTTATCCAGATTCTCTATCACAGACTGTCAGAACTTGTAAGACAAACCACGTTAAGATTCCCGAAAACCTCAGTAGTGGGAAAAAAAGAGGGTGAACAGCTGGGAACAGTTGATGTTGTGAACATTGAAAATCAGCTATGAGACTCCAGTATTGAGATTGGAGATCCAACCAGAAAGCAGCTTGCTAAGCTACCCCCTGACCAGAGAAAGGTTCCCATCAAAGACATGAGGAAGTTCTATGTGACTGTAACACAGTATCTTATGAAAAACTGCCACTTGACAACACCCTTTTGATGGATCTCAGCTGCCTGCACCCTACAATGCAAAAAGAACACTCAACTGTGAATGCAGTTAGAAGGATAGCAAGGAAAATTGTTCATGTCATGAGTGATAATGAATGGAAGCTGTACCAGATGGAAGATGTAGCCAAGGACTAGTTTCAAACTGCATGGAATTGCATCATTCAGCCAATTCATGTCGACTATTACTAGCAAAATGTATTAGCAATGAAATCCTCAAGTAGTAATGCTATGTTTTCCATCCTTCCCAAGCTGGTTAAAAACAGATCTGGAGCATGGCTTTTCTGCTAGCAAGCAGACATTAACAAAAGACAGAACTGCACTAAGTATTAATTCTATCATTGGTTTGAGAACAATTAAAGACACTCTCTGAAACAAGAATCTTAAAGCTCATGAGCTACCAATAACCAGACGTATGATCACAGCAAAACATCAAGCACATGAAAGTTATCAATGCAGACTCAATGAACAGAGGGAGAGGAGAAGGTTAAGAGGCAAAAAGAAGCTGAAAAGAAGAAGGCAGAGACAGAAGAAGAGGCTAGTAGGCATAGAAAGATATCACAAGAGAAGGAAGATCTTAAGATGAAGGAAGAATTAATACGAGACAGAGAAAGGGAATGTTTGCAATCACTTACTGTGGCTGAAAATATGTTTGCAGAATCAAGTGAAAAGCTGGCTAAAGCTGTTAAAGACACAACTTTCCATTGCACAAGCAATGATTGACAGCAAAGACCAAAATGGCTGCTGCCAATCTGATACTGGAGGAGTTAGCAAAGAACAGATACAATTGTGTGGACAAAAGAGAAAGCTAATGGAAAAATAACAAAAGACACAAAAACAGCAAAAAACTAAGAGTATACCAGACACCAGCTACAGATACTAAACTGACTGATTCCTAAACTTCCAGTTTAGTACTAATTTTAGATAGTCAAATATTGAGGTGCAACACTGCCTTACTCAGGTTAATATGTATTTAAGTTGCAATTCTGTCATCAGTAGTTCCTGATCAAGCTATGTTCTAGTAATTTTTGTTGTCATGCACTTGTACATGGGATTTATTTTTGTTTTTACACTACATTAATAATTTTGTTACATTGACTACGCCAGTATACAGAAATGAATAGTGTAGAATATAATTTCATTGAACATGGTATGTTCTAGTCATTTTTATTTTTCTACAATGCATCTGTTGATTTTTGATATTGTAACTTGTTCTTTTATTTGCAAAATAATTATTATGATATAAACTGTGACAAGAACTACTACTAGTCATAGAATTATTATTATGAACAGGGTATGTTCTAGTCATTTTTATTTTTATATGATGCATTTGATGATATTGTAACTTGTTCTTTATTTGCAAAATTAACATTACAATATTAATTGTGACAAGAACTAGTCACAGAATTATTATCATGTGATACATGTATCAGTGAACAACCAATGTTCTGTGATGGTATGAATAATAAATGCTTTTTATTTTTTAAGGTGTGAACCATGATTCGCCATTATCATCTCAAGAGTGGTAAGTTAAACGGGTCACATGGGTGGTGCTAATCAGGTAGGAATATATTTTATTTTCAAATTTATGTTTTTTCCCTGTAATTTCCTATACATTTGAGAAAAAACTCCTAAATTTCTCCTAATTTAAAAAAAAACCTCCTATATTTTTTATGATGGCCACTGTGACCCCTGAATGTGTGAAATGGGAGAAAAATTGGAATTACACTCCCTAGCAGCAGAATTCTTAGGCAAAAATGAGCGGTCAGGGAAGGGGAGAACATAGGAACTGTAGAACAGCACATGGCAAATATCAAATGCAAAGATCTCAGTTTGCCACCAGCCACAAGCCAATAACATGAGTGATAGGGATTTGAAGGAAAGGTGATACAGGGAACACAAAGACAAAAGTTCAAACAGAGTACAAGTGAAAGCATGAAGGATAATGCTGAGATTCCAATCCAAGAGAGAGAGAGATAGGGTGATGAGGATGGGAAAGGGAAAATGAACGAAATAACCAAAGACAGCACAGAAGTTTGGAAGGCAGAGACAAGTTTAGTAAATCTAAACATGCAAGATAATGCAGTTCAATAGCCGACAATTGAGGAAACTGAGCAACTAAGGGATCCTGAATGAGACTCCATTGGTCGAGTAATATCCACTGAAGGTGATGCATGTGGGCACAACCAAGGAGAATGAGGGCTTTGAGAGGAGCCCATGTACCCAAAAGAGATAGGGTCTATCATGCAGTAGAAGAGGAAGAGGCCGAAAGACTTTGAATGAGACGTTTCATATCTTATAAACAAAGGGGAGAAGACTGGGCCCAGCTGATGAGGGAATTGAAAAGTAACCCAGATGAATCAAATATTGCGTGGGTGTGAGAAACGACTGGCAATTTCTGAAAGAAAAACTGAGTATGAACAGCAAATACAACTTGAAAGGAAGCTAAAAGTAGCCAATCATCCATGTAATGGTGGAAACGAAGGCCTCTGGCATGAAGCAGTCCTTACTACTCAGCAGAAGGCATAAGTAGCCAAAGCCAGGCCAAATGGTAGAGCCTGAAACTGATAAACATGCCCCTGATAACCAAAATGGAAGAAATGCTGGGATGCCTGAGAGAAGAGAATGTGTAGATAAGCATCTGACACATTGTCCTTTGTCGTCCACAACCTGGGAGTGAAATCCCACTGAAGGGTTAAGTAAGACTCCATTGTGAAATTGGGAACATCCAGGAAATCTATAACCAGTCACCAATTGGTTACAACAAACAAACTGGAGCAAAACCACAGCTGAGAATGTTCCCCACGTTATATGGCCTCTTTCTGAAGTAACTCTTGAACTGCCTCCTGTAGACACTGGGGGAAGGCAATAGGATGAGAAGACAATCGAGGAAGGGAATGGAAGTAAAGAGCCAGACCTTCTAAAAGCACCTGTAAGACCCATAGATCTGTTGTTAATGGTGTCCATATATGTCAAAAATGGAAAAGCCTGGTAAGGTATCATATCAGAATCAGGTTAAATACATAACCTAATAGGCCATTCATGACCAAGTAAAAAAAATGTCGATTGAAAGGACGGGAGTAGGAGGCCTAGTAAGCGTGTGGTAGTCCACAAGACATTGAACAAAGGGTGCAGTGTCCACAACAGTTAATGAACTTCCAGAAGCCATAATAGAAATAAGGACTGTGTGTGTATCTAATATTGTCACTCACCCAGGACTGTCACTTGAGAATTCATGATAAAAATTAAAGCTTTTAAAAAAACTATATAAAGTAAAAATCAAAGTTTTGTTAAATGAAAATTTCACTAAATTGAATTCAGACAAGAAATTTGAGCATGCCTGTTCAATGCAATGCCAACAAAATATTAAATTATCACGAGTGCAATTGCAAAATGGAAGTTATTGCACATGGAAGTTGAGTCCCCCCCCTCCTCATTTGTGGAGGGCTAAACATGAGGATTTAGGTGGGAGCTACCTCAAGGCCAGTAGCATGTAAATCTCATATGCAAATCCATGAGAAAAGTAGTATTTCTACATGAAGAGGTGAAATTACATTTTAACTCTTAAAAAGTTTTGAGTTACACATTTATGAAATAAGAGTTAGAATTATTATTCTTACTTCAATTTTGAAAATTTATATGCAGGTGTACACTCAACACCTAAAAAATATTCACAGGGTTAAACAACAAGGCTCCTTAATATATATACACATATACACAACAATGTAGCAATCTGATTCAAAAATATAATTTTTTATAACTAAGTCAATAAAACATAAATTTCACTCATTTACAGATACTTTTAAAGAAGACTAACTTTTTAGTAATATGATCTTTTTTCATTCTAATTTTCAAAAAATTTAATCACCTTCAGAACTAGAAGAATGATAAAAACCATGAATCCTAGCATACGTTACACCTCTGTTCTGGTTTGAGACTTTTTTACGTTTCCAGGGTGATATAAAAAGTGATTCTACTTCCTCAAGATTTCTGCCTTTGGTTTCTGGGAGAACTAGCATGAAGTAGATCCATCCAATAAAGGCAAAGATAGCATACATCCAAAATGTCCCTAAATGAAATACAAAAATACAATTCTTTAAAATCATGAAGCTTCAATAACAGCGCCAACTTAGAAAATTTAACTATTGTAGAAACACATTTTAGCTAAAGTTCAAGATCAAACACAATAAACCAAACACCTTGCATAATTAAAGGGCTATTTTGAATATAAACTGGCAAACTTTTGCAAAATTTATTTCAAGAAATTTATTAAAAATTAAACTTCTTGTAAAACTAAATTAAATAATATAAAAGAATAAACCAATTCTTGCAAGATTTACACATTAAATGTATCAAAAAAATTGTTTAACCAACCCAACTATATTATCAAACATACAAAACCAAAATTTATGTAAGGTTAAGTGTCAAAGAGAAAATAAAAACTTAATATTTAAACTTTTTCTAGACTGGAGAGGTGTCACTGATATCCTTGTTTTTTACTTCTTACAACAGAAATACTTAGCCAAACTGGGTGAAAATTAGACTCTACTTATTAATCATTATCTAGTTTCAGCTATAAAAACATGCATATAATTTGATTTAGTTTCAAGGTCATTTTTATACAGTGAAATTTCTACAACTTTGTTGTGAGACAATTTTTTGAAAAAGGCATTAATAAAAATACTTCTTTTTGTGTTTTATAATTTAAATCCTTTTAAATGTTGATTAGAAATTTTCATTTTATATATCCAATTAATTTCAACTTGATGGATATTCATTAAAATATTTCTTTTGATACTTTATTTTGCTGATTGTAGGAGTCACCACTTCTGGCTATAAATCATAGAAACAACACACATACTGACAAAAATTTATGCGTAATAACATTCTTGGTGGAAATAAATTTGTTTGCATTGTTTGAATATGATAAATTTAACAATATTGTTAAATAAATAAGGATTTGAGTCAATGGAATATTTTACTGTGACCTACCATATTCTCTAAACCTAATTAGGCTTACCTGATGTCTTGTTAAATATACAAGCAAATTTAATATGAAAACATTTTTAGGAACTAAAAGAACATTTAAAAACCAAAAAATTCCCAGATCTGTGGTTTGTTTCTGAGTCTTGTAATTAAACTTCCTTCTTGTCACTTTACCACAAAACTATAAACTCTTTCTCATACCTCTTTATTCTATGTACACTGATGTAAATAGTTTATATTCTACACATTGACTTTTAAAATTTGCCTGTGGTGATTTTCAAGACAGAGATTCATTAATAGTTATTCACATCATATGTTGTGAAGTCATAATAGGGAGGGAATGAAAGGCTTTACTAAGAAAATCAGAAAAAGAGAAGTAAAATCACATGAGTTAAAAACTATTATTTTCACTTAAATTTTGAAATTTATATGGGTGTGTACTTGACACCTGAAAAGTTCACACTGGTCTGAATAGTGTTAATAAAGTAAAAGAATAATATATTGGTAAAATAATCTCATCTTTACCATAAGTATACTAAAATGCTGTTCATAAAGTGAAGAATTACAATTTTAACATGTAAGCTTGACCAGCTTTCGTCTGTTACCTCAAAAGTTTATTTAATCAAAACTTTCAAAGGAGTAATTTATGTCCAAAATAAAATTACAGATATACAAACCATATCTGGTTAAGGCCTGAGTAAAAGTGAGGAATGACATGGATATAAGCATGTTGAAAAACCAGTTCACAGAGGTAGTAGTTGAGTAGCAAGTACTGCGAGCCCACAGTGGATAGATTTCAGCATTAATAGTCCAAGGCATGGGCCCTAAACCTGAATGGTGAAAGACTACATCTCAATATCTTGAAACAAAGAAGCTTGAGGAAAACAGCAAGCTGAAGTTCTAAACAATTTGGAAATTTATCTAGCACTATCGTTGTATTTTGTATATATATATATATATATTTTTTTTTAAAGTTGGTTCTTCACACCAAATTTACAAGTCCAAAAAATCCATTCATTTTTAAAATGATAATAATCAACGTCCTAGTAAGACTAATTTAGAACTGAGTCAAGCAATACCAAGTATGGGTAACAATAGACAATTCTATGTGGTAACTCATTTCATTGAATAATTATAATGTAGATTTAAAAAAATTAGCCCAATAATTTATTCATCCAATGTTTTTGCCAGGATCTTTCTCTATGGTTTCTTCTACACATAGCATGGACACAAATGGATGATTTTACAATATACTATCTTGTCGAACTGAAGTTGTATCAGTTACTGTTCTCTAAACTTATTATTTCCAGTCTGTAAATCAGAAATTGTCACATCATCATTTTGTTCAAGCTTTTTATTTGTTTTATATATTTCTGTGAGTTATGATTATTTTATTCATTTATATATTTTCAATTTTCATATATTATAATTGTATTATCTGACCAGTCTTAGTTTTCTTAAAATTACTAGTGTATCTTAGCTGTAGCAGAGATGTCATGTTGTACTATACCAATATCGTAGTCTATTGTTTGAGTCTAATCATGCTATCAATTTCTGTCACTTTTCTGTTGTTGTGTCCAGAATAATCTATGAAAGAAGTATGCGACTAAGATCTGGCTGTATCTGGTGCAGATAACATCAGATTAAGTTCAGACTAGGAAACTTATGGTCAAATGAAACTCTGCTTGGATATAGTACATTTTCTCAGCTAGCCCAGATTCTAACTACACGTAAGAACCCAGAGTCTTCAGAAATTAATATATTTATTTTATGAAAAAAAAATTAAAATCAAGTGACTGTGTTCACTATAATCCTATATAATTACTAACTTGAGTGTTTGGATTGATCCATCCTAAATGGTCCAAATAAAAGTTATTTGGATGAGCATGATTTACAGAATATTCCAGCAAAGCTAAGTAAGAGCAATCTATTGTTTCTAATTTTGAGCTGTTAGACTGTTCAACTGCACCCACTGCCAATTATTGGGCTACTTTAGTCTGACCAAATAATGGGATTTGACTGCTACTCCTATTGAATTAAACCATGAAATCTTGGGTTCATGGTACAGGCATGGTAACCACTAAGTCATACCTGGTACTACTAAGTCATATTATTATAAGAATTACTGTTGCTGCAACACAGTTTATCTATAAAAAAAAATCAGCATAAGATCTTTCATTAGGTTTACACAATTTTTGAGTTTTAGTAATGATTAGAAAATATTTTCTTGTTTTAATGATTGCTTTAAACTATAAAAAGGCACCACTGTCAACTTACCAAAAGCAAAAAAAAAGAGATACAACACTAAGCTGAGAAAGATGACCCAAGTATAATTGGAAGGGCACCAGTTAACTGCCCATGTTAAAGGATCAGGTAAAGTTGTGGAATTACAAGAACCCATCACTGCCACATTAATTTTGTCTGGGTCAGCCAGAAGACATGTGCCATTGGCTGGCCCTGATGAGAGGTCCATGAAACAGTAGCCACATTTACCACTATCTATACATTCAGAGCATGAACTATAAAAAATAGAATTAGAAACAGCAATAAATGGAGAAAAACATTTTCACTAGTTAGGCCTTATGACAAAGATGTTTGAGGAAAACAAAAAAAAATAATAAAAGAACTACAATTTCAAAAATCCAAATTATTATACCAAATCAAAAATGTTTCAAAACAAAAGGTAATTCTAAAAACTAAAAGAAGTTTTTTTTTATTTCTACAATAAAATGATGATTAATTAAAGCTTATAAATTAAATTAGCTATTCTCAGGTGCATATTCATCCAAAGACTGTATTTACATTCTCATCTGCTTATTTCTTTAAGTCTAAAAATTTGAAACACTGACATGCAGTAAGGAGACTATAGCATAGTTTTTGTAATAACTCGCAGCCACAGGTTAAGCAAAAGGAGGATGTAAAACATTTGATAACCACAGTCAAACTAATACATCCTCTACTGATCACTGTAACCCACCCCAAACCTAGGATGGTAATAAAAAGGTATTGTTATTTATTGATGAAATTGAACTTCTGAAGTATAATATCAAATTCTTGGTCAGAAGTCAGAATGTAGGAATGTTATGGTAGCCATTAAAAGATAAATAGGATAGTCAGATTACTCTGCATCTTATATCAAACAGGACATAAGCTGGAGTTGTAGTTCCATATTTTACAGGGAAAGTAAACCTTGAAAAATTTTGTTATATGTGAAGCTCTACTTTCAAGATAAATGCTCAACAGCTTCCATAATTATTATTAAGGAAAAGTGGATCATATCAGTGACTTTTAAGTATCAGTATGTTTGTTGAATTATGTGCAAATCTACTTGAGGGTTATATGTGCAAGCCTTCCTTATTTAGAAGTGATATACTAGTGGGAATGCAGCTAGTCACACCACCCACTACCAACTTTTGGGTTACTTTTACCAACAAAAAGTGGGATTGACCATCACTTTATAATTCCACCATGACTGAAAGGTTGAGCATATTTAACATAATATTTTGGGACAACATGGGACCTATTGGTCCATCTTGGCTGTTCCATCCTCAAAACTAAATTAAAATGATTAAACAAAATAAAATTAAAAAATTTTAAACCCAGCCCTTTTTGTTCATATACTTATCAAGCTTTTTCTTAAACTCACTTAAATTTACTGCCTCTACAACATCTGAAGGCAACCCATTCCAAATGCCAACTGCCCTCTTAGAAAAATAAAAAATGTCTTAGCTGAATATGACTCCTACCTTGCCAAAATTTATATTTATGTCTCCTGGTCCTACTATTCTCATTGTTAAATATAAAAAAAGATGATACATCAACAATATCAATTTCCCTTTACAATCTTAAACACCTCAATCAGATCCAACCCAACTCTTCTTTTTTCAAGATAAAACAATTTGAGAGATTTCAGCCTCTCATTGTATGACAACCCCTCCATCCCAGGCACCATTCTAGTAACCCTTCTCTGAACTCTTTCCAACAATTCAATGTCCTTCCTAAGGTAAGGAGCCCAAGACTGAACACAATATTTCAAATGTGGCCTAACCAGTGACCTGTACAATGAAAGTATAACATCTTTAGACTTGTATTTAATATTGCTATAGATACAACCTAAAATCCTATTTGCCCTACCACTAGCAACAGCACATAGCTTGGATGGCTTTAGAGACTGATCGACTATTACACCAAGATCCCTTTCCTTCATAACACTATTAAGGTTATTTCCACCCAAATTATACTTATAATTCAAATGCATTATCTTGCATTTATTATAATTA